ATATTGACATATATACATATCTATATTTATACTTATATATAATTTTTGCTTCCTTGTTTTTCTTCTATTTCTATTTTCTTTCCTTCTACCCTGCTATCATGTTCACCTTTCCTTTGCCTGTCAGTAATTCCTCCTGGGTACATCTCAATTGATCCATCATCATCAGGGACCCTACACCCTCCTCACCATCAATTTTAGATCCCTGGCTCTTCCCCTGTCCCTGATGTATTGACTCCCCTGTCCTCATCTCCTCCTCTCCCATGCCTAGCTCCCTCTCCCCGCCAGTCCCCATGGAACCATTCCATTGCTGTCTCCTCGGGTCAGTTTTATAGTTTTTGCCTTTATGTATTTGGGGGTTCTGTTGTTTGAGACATGTATGTTTACAATTGTTAATTTTTTTTGTGAATTGGCACCTTTACAAATAAAAATTTTCTATTTTGCCTTTATTAATAATGTTTTGATCTTAAAGTAAAATTTATGTCATATTTTAAGCCCCGCCAACTGTTCTCTTGACTGCCGTTTCTATGGTGTTTTTCTTGATATTTTATTATCAACCTATTTGTGCCACTGAACCTAATTTTACTTTCAACCTATTTGTGTATTGAATCTAAAGGTTGACTCTTCTGGAACCCTCGTAGACTATTTACTGGTGTAGTTGTAAATCACTTCACCCTCTATGGAAAGCTATGTGGTGCTTCCTCAAACAGTTGAGAATAGAAGTACTGTATAGCCCAGCAATGGCGCTACTTGGTATATACCCTACAGAAATATAGAACATAGCACAAACACATGCACATCCATGCTCATAGCTGTATTAGTCACAATAGCAAAAAGATGGAAATAACCTAAATGCCCATTTGTAGAATGGGTAAATGGACTTTGTTACATACACACAATGGAATATTAAGAAGTGATCGAACTGAAATATCTCATAACATGGGTGGACTTAAAAGACATTATGCTGAGTGAAATTAGTCAGAAACAAAAAGACAAATATTGTATGAGACTACTGTTACACAAAATAACAAGCAAAGGTTTCCATACCAAAATAAAGAGATTTTGTTGGTTGCTAGGGGTGGGAAGCAAAAGGTCAGAGGGTAGATAGGTGTTAACTTTGGTGAAGGGTAAGATAACATACTGCAACAGGGAGATGGGAAAAAAATGAGGTTGGATGAAGAAACAGAAAGCCATTGGAAGGTTTGAAACTTATTTAAATGGTGAATGCACAAATGATCTAGTATATAAATTTCTACCTATTTCAATAAAATTAAACAATAGAAACAAAAATCAATAGAAACAAAAATAAAAAGTATACCTCTTATTGAAAGCATGTAGTTAAGTGCTTTATTTATCTGTTCTGCCAATTCTTTGCCTTTTGGTTGTATTATTTAATCTATTGAAATTTAATCAGCGAAATGATAAAGTAGGATTTATATTTGCCACTTGTTGCCTATGTATCATTACCTTTTGTTTTTCCGTTTTGTTCTTCCATTATTGCTTTTTTTCTTAGGTAGATGTTTTCTAGTGAACCAATTTAATTTTGTTGCATTTCCTTTTACTTGTGTGTGTGTGTGTGTGTGTTACTTTCTTAGTGGTTACCCTGGGATTTATAATTAATAAGTTTATAGCAATCTATTTTGGATTAATAACTTAATTTTGATAGCATATAAAAACTGTACTCCTATTTATCCTCATCCATTTTCCCCTCCTTTTATATCTTTACACATTATATACTCCTTTAAACAGTGATAAACTATTGATTTCTGCAGCTAGCTTTGAAATTAAATATAGGAAAAGTGTTACAAAAGTATAATTACATGTTTATATATACTTATGTAATTACTTGTATCAGTGTTCTCTAATCCTTGATGTTTATTCAAGTCATGATTAGGGCTGGGTTTCAAACCAGTTGAGCCATGGCCAATGAAATGAAACTGAAATAGCTTTGAATTTTAAGAATCCAAAATGTAATTTTCAATCTTCTTTAAACTTATTCATAATAAGATCCTGTGATTGTCCTGTGCTTTTTAGGAAAATCTATCAAGGTGACCCCTATGGGGTCTCCAAAACAGTGTCCATAACGTTCTGAGCTGACCTCTGTGCTAGAATTTAACTGACCCGGCAAATCTTTTCTCAAGCCACTATTTGGTTTGGACATTTTTTTAAGGTACTCTACCAAGACTAAGACAAGTGTGTTCCTACAGCTGTCCATTGATCACCGAGATGTTCAGATCCACATATATATGTATATGTATATGTATATGTATATGTGTGTGTGTATATATATATGTTCTTTGTGTAGGACATCCAGGACCTGGGCTTCTTCAAGAATTTCTTTTTCTTCTGTGTATGAGCTTTTTTTTTTCTTTTCTTCATTTTCTCACGTCTTGTAGTTTTTTTGGTTGAAAAATGGACATTTTGAGTAATATCATGTAACAGCTTTGGAAATGAGATTTACTTCCATCTTAGGATTTATGGTGGTTGTTTCTGTTACTGCTGTTTTCTACTTCCAGTTAATATTGTAAAATCTATATCCTTTTTGTGTGTTCCCACTGCAGTCTCAGCTTAATTACCTTAGTTGTCAGCCAGCGGTTGGGCAGAAATTTTCTTCTATATCTAGGAACAGTAAATCTGGTCTTTTATATTAGGTTCTGTGTGTTTATTGTGGCCACACCTTCAACATTCAACAGTCAGCATTTTATAAGTGCACCTTAATCTTTATTTTCTCCTTGCACAGAGCCTGAAGATTTGACAAAGTCTCAGAGTGTAAGACCTCTAGTCTATACTGACAATGCACACAGTCTTGGGCGTACACATACATAAGTGTGGCTTTCTAGATGCTTAGATATGTTAGATTTTCAAATCCTTTATGGTGAGCGGCGTCCAGTCTTTCCTTTTAAACTTTTTGGTTATTTTCGTGTTTGTCTTAACTCTTATCCACTGCTTCATAAAGTTGTGATGTTCAACAGTTGACTTATGAAGGTAGCCAGGCATATGGAATCTTCCAGAGACAGCTCAGCTAATAGCAGTTCTTTGGAAATTGGAAATGAGGCTTCGAATGAGCCTCATTTTGCCCCTTTTCATTACTGCATGGTTTTCATTCAAATTGTGGGCTGTTTGATTTTCAAGGCTATTGTGGACCTGGCAAGTAGGGATGATAGTTTTCTCATTGCTTTCTTGGAGAGAATTTTCAGAATTCTGAGTGGCACCATGTTTGTTCTTGTCACCTCTTCTTTTTGTATTCAGCATCAAAATTCATTTTGTGAGGGTATTCAAATATTGAATTTACCATATCTGTGTTAAAATTACACAACAGTGGAATGTTTTATTTCATAGTATTATTTTAAATAATGATCACAGCTCACATTCATTATAATATCATACTTCTTAATGTTTCCAACAGGAATTACCATGTATTCTATTACCTCCTGGCAGGAGCAAGTGAAGAAGAGAGATTAGCATTCCATCTTAAGCAACCTGAGGAATATCATTATCTTAATCAGGTGACTGTTTTATAAAAAGTATTTTTAAATTGGAGCATTATTAAATTTTAGCTTTTGACGGTAAACTTTTTTCCTTAGTACTTTATCAAACTATGGGTATTAATTTATTTTCTTATGTGTACATTAAAAATGTATGTGATACATCTTCAATTTAAACATTATTACTGCCCGTATATAAGTGTTAAAAGGTGAGTTATGTGTGAACTTTTTGTTCTTTGTGAGATTTTAAAAAAAAGTAAAAGTTGTTTTTATATACCATATTAGAAAAATGGATAACTTGGTCCATTATTTACTGTTTCCAGGCTCCAGGAAGTTAAATGTTAGTAACAATTAATAATTGTTCTTTATAAGAGTTTACCTAAACTTGATTTGCATGTTTTTAAGCATTATACATATACTTCTTTGCATGTTATGGTTGATATTGACTTAAAGTATTACTTTATAATTCAATTAAAGAACCATCTTTTTATAAAGTTAAAATTAAATTCATCAAAGGCCAGTGACTTTTAGAACATTTGGATCTTTTATCGAAACGATCAAAATTAACCCTTTATTTTTTAGCTTCCTCAGTGGGAAAAGGAATCACGCTCCCAATTTTTCACCCTAACAGTTCCTCCAATGTTATTGTCTTTCTTTAAAAAGAAAATTTTAAAAATTATTATCTTTCATTCTAAATTTTTAGGTTCAATATTAATAATATTGATGTTAGCAGCAAATTATTTAAATAGATTGTTTATCCTTATTTTTATTATTTAAAGAAAAATTACAGATTTTTAAAATGATAATTTTAATTTCTCTTATGATTATTTTTATAAACAAATTTTACACTGTGATGATAGCCCCAAAATATAAATTTATATTTAGATTGTGCAAGTAATAATTTAAATTTTCTCAAGATGTTTAGTATACTGCTTAACTCGCATTTTCTAATTCTGAAACTATTTGTGTGTTATTAATATAAACTAACTTGACTTACTTTGTATTAATGTATAGAAAATTTCAAAAACAATTTATCACTTACTGGTATAAAACTAATCATTTTATACAAAGTTCTAATGGTCCAAAACTGAGCCGAAATTTAATAGGGAAATAAAGACTTGTTGCAATTCTTCCAGATCTTTTTGGAATAAGTGGCCTTACCATACAAAATCTTGCTATAATATCAACATTCAGCAGTTAATAGCAGAGTCACTGAGCAGTAGCAAGCACAGGTTGAGCATAATAGTGTACATCCTCCGAAGATCTAAATATTAATACTTAGTTGTTTCTTGTTTTGTGCTGCTATGCAAATAACTATTTAAATGGCAGCACTGATGCCTGTACACTGCATCTAAAATATGATTAGAGGAGTGTGGTAACCGTTACTTCTACCTAACTAATCTGCCTTACTTTCAGATAACAAAGAAACCTCTCAGACAGAGCTGGGATGATTATTGCTATGACTCTGAGCCGGTCAGTACAAGTGCCTAAATATTCTGTGTGCCCATTAAGGGACCCTCATTTGACTGCATTCATCTCTTTGCTTAGGCAAATAAAAAGTAGCTTAAGTACAAAATAAAATTGAGAGAAGATAATAAATGATCGTTTTAGTTTTCTTGGAGTTTAATTATTTGTATTTGTATGATTTGTTTATTAAAAATCAGTCTATTTATTCTTTGGGGAGAATTCCCTCCACCCCAAATTTAGTTCATAGTCAATATTTACTTTGATAAACAAAAATTTTATTGCCACCTTAGCTTTGCTGAATCTTTAGGCTTATTGTGGATCCTTTATGGACTATCAATTTATATTTTTTTGCTGAAAGTTATTATTTTTTTAGTTTCGTTTCCTGTATGAGAAGTAACTATTGTTTATTTAAAAATTACATTCTTTAAGTAGCATTCTCCCATGAGTATGTTGTATGTATATATGTAATTATATGTTTAATAATAAGAGAGATAGTAGGATAGCAGTTATGTATTTTTTAATGCTTAATATTTATAAATTCAAAAATTAGGTTATTTGTTTCATTGAATGATTTAAGGGCATATGTGATGTAAATATAAAATGAATAGTTCAATTTAGCATGGCAAGTGTTTTTCCTTTCTGTTTAGAATTAGGTCAGGTGTGGAAGGCTTAAAACACATACAGATACACACACTTATTTATAACTGTCTTTCTATTAATTAACAGTAAACTAATTATTCACATACTCCTCTTGGATATATAACATGCCTGAGTCCTGAGTCCTTGTTTCAAAGAATCATGATTTTAATTTTCATTGCACGTAAACACAAGCCTCACTAATTATAAAACTAGCCATTTTTAGAACTGACAGATGATACAAAAGAATCAGTATCACTCAGTGTCATTGAGTTGCTTCCACCTCATAGCTACTCCTATAGGACAGAGCTGCCCCTTTGAGTTTCAGATGCTATAAATCTTTATGCGAATAAAAAGCCTCATCTTTTTCCCAGGAGGCAGCTGATGGTTTCAAACCACTGATCTTTCAGTTAGCAGCCAAACTCATAACCCACCGCACCAGCAGGGCCCCTAAAGAATCAGTGTATCTGGATATTATGTAATTTTTTATTTCAGGAATGTTTGATGGTCTCACCACTTTATAATAGACCAAGAAACTTAGGGTTTCAGATTTAACATTATAAAAGGTAAATATTAGACATTTAAATCTATAGGTTTTGCTACATTTTAGTTGAAAAAAATTTAGGTTGTCTTCTTCCTCTTGTAAAAGTCTTACTTTTTATCTTCACTTAGTGACTTTATCTTTCACCAAGTAACTATGGCTCATTGGGAAATACTAGAGCAGTGTTTCTCATCCTTCCTTTATTACAGTTAAAGGACCTTTAATACAGTTCCTCATGTTGTGGTGACCCCCCCATCATAAAATTATTTTCATTGCTACTTCATAATGGTAATTTCACTACTGTTATGAATCGGACGACTCCTGTGATAGGGTCATTCGACCCCCAAAGGGGTCGTGACCCACAGGTTGAGAACCGCTGTACTACAGGGTTTCAAAAAGTTCATAGAAAATTTGAATCACAAGATAATGGAATTTCCCCACAAATTTTTATGAACCTTCTGTCTAAGTGTGAGTGAGAAACTGCAAATAGAAGATTTGATTGCTTGTACAGAACTTAGAGTGAATGCATGAAGTCATTTATTATTATCCAGAGACATTCTAAGAAATTCTTTAGAATTTGGATTTTGGTGTAGACAGGTCTCACTAAGATCCCTGGATTTGCTTACTTACTGGTTTTGATTCCCTTATTAGGTCATTTAATTCATTTGTTTCCATCATTGATATAAGAGAATAATAATGGTCTTTAAGTTTTGTTAGCATAATATAAAACAATGTAGAGTTTGCTGGAGTGCTTAGCACGTGGTATGTACATATTAGATGTTTTCGCCATCCATGCTGCTGCCAGTGTAAGCATCACCATCCCTCTTTCCCCTTGGGAAGGTTGTTGTAGTTGTAGTCATGATCTCCTTTTATTAATATTCCTGTCATTACTGGTTTTCCACTTATTGTGATTTGGATGTGGTGTTTACTCTTAGCTTTTCTTTACAGTGTATTTAGGAACCACTAAGCATTTTGTCTAAGGAGCTGGGCTGCAGTTCTCATGGGTGGCAGTTTGAAAAACACTGGGATTTTCTACTCGGTTAAACAGTTATAGTTTTGGAAACCTACCGAGGGTCGCTGTGAGTCCGTGTTGACTCGATGGCAGTGAGTTTGGCTTTTGGAAGTGTTTTCAGGAGACCGCGTTTTAACTTCTGTGACCAGCAGTAAAATAAAAGAGGGCTGCTCAAGCACTGTTCTTCCGTTTGTGCTCCATTACTGATCTTGTATGTTTTGGAATTGTATAAACAATCACAAAGGGAACGATAATGAGAAAATTGCTTTTCTCACTGTTGTTGCCAACAGTATGTTAATTTCTTTTAAAGATGATAGTTCTTTAATGTCTCTCTCATGAGAGAGACAGAGGAACTGATTGATTTTGTTTTGTCAGCCCTGCGATTTTCAAAGTTTTTCCCCAAAGGTTTTGATCTTACTAATGTCGAATAAGATCTGTAATATTTTAATCACAGATTTCCCACATGTAAATATATAACTGCAAGGTCAGCAGTTTGAAACCACCAGTCACTCTGGGGGAGTAAAAAGGGGCTTTCTATTCATGTAAAGAGTTACAGTCTCCATAGGGCATTTTTACCCTGTTCTGTAGGGTCACTATGAATAAAAATTAAAGCTACCCTAAATACAGCAATGTAAATATGATAGTGAATGCAAATACAGTGAAGCATTATTGAATATCTATGGGATGAAGGGTATTAGAGATGGTAGAAATGCAAATATATGAGATTTGAATGTGTGAGATATGACTCTTGTGTCCTCTATGCTTACATTTCTATATAGGTCAGATGGAGCATGAGTTAGTTAATTGTGCCAACCTGGCCGATAATCACATGTGGGGCTAATTGAAAGGCGGAGGGTTAAATGGGTGGTGAGCCTCGCCTTTCTAGTTCTCGGGTCTCTTGCTTTGTGATGGTCGCACCAGGGTGCAGCTGCCTTAGCAGTTCCCTGCTTCA